TAGCTTCCTTGGCTCAAAGTGGTAGGAGAGTTATTATTATAAATCATATTCATTACCTTAGTTTCAAAGAGCCAACTAACCGTGGGCCACTGTTGTGCTAGGCACAGTACAAACCCAGAATAGTAGATGGCCCATGCCCTGAAGAATTTACAATCTAAATAGACAAGACAGACACAGAATGGGGGATGAGGCAGAACCCACCAGCAGAGTGAACGATGTGAAGGCAGAGTGACAGATCTGATGAACACAGGTATATCTCTTGAGACTATTGTATTTAATGGTATGACTAGGGCCAGTGTTTTCCGGAAACTGCTATTACTGCATTTTTTCCTGAAATTACTCTTCATTTCTGGAATCACCCTTCACATCCAGAATAGCTGAACGGAGGGTGCGTGGGGATGCAGGGTCACAAACCCCAGATTTCTGCCTGGAGACACCTGACTCCTCCCCAGAGCACAGGGCAAAGGCTGGGGGCTGGCTGCTTTTGAGACTTGCTACCAATTTCTTCCCTCCTCATAAAAGTCTGGGCTCAGAAAAAACACTGTGGAGCTTCCCCTTGAGAGGCAGGGCACTTGGCAGTGGGATGCCGGGCACCCTCATCATGCTGCAGAGCAGATGGTGCTCGCACCTGCTTGACTGTGTCAGCAACACCTGTCCCCTGATCATCTCCCCTGCATGCAGCTGGTTCATGTCCCGTCTCCCCAGCACACAGACGGCTCTAGGCTCTTAATGCCCAGTGTTTGGGCCCCACCTCCCCCATACAGCTGGCTCCTCTCCTCTCCCGCAATACACTTTCAGGCTGTAAAGGATTATATATTGCTCACGTTTGTCAACTACTCTGTTTTCGTTGCCAGCAAACACTGGCCCTATTTATGACTGTTATCTGTATCTTTGAGCCAGGCCTTGAAAGCATGAATACTTCACAGACTATGATACTGAGATGGACCAGATGATACCGGGGAGGGCTGAGGGATAGGTTTCCTGTGCAATCCGGTATCACTAAGGCTGGATCTCAAGGCTGGTTATACAGAACTCCATCTTTTGAAGCTTTGCCCCATACAGAAAGGGGCAGTGTCTGATTTTACCTCTTTCAGGAGACTGAAGAAGACATACAGACTTTTTGGGGCAAAACAGCCGAGTTTGAGCTGACTGAGGGGGGGTCTTTTTGGGCTACAAATTGACATGACCTGATAACCAAGACGTAAGCTTTTAAAGAAGGTTTTAATACACTTTGGAAATGATCGGGGATTCCCAAGAGGACTGATGGTAAATATGCATTTTGTTGCTTTTCTTGCTTTATATATTTTTCCCATAAGGCACACTGACACTGTCATGGATCCATAGGATCTGTGAAATGCCCTGGCTTTTAAACAGTCCTTGGGAGGTGCACTTTGAGTGCACTAGACCCGCAATGGGTTCCACTCTTCCACAAGGATAGGCCAATGTAGCTTCAACACTATTTCAACGTGTGAGCTCTGCCAACAGGATCAACAGAATGACACTCCTGTTCAGAGACTGTTCCTCATTCAACGCACAGAGCAAGTTTGTGCTATGACACTGGGCAGACTTTTAAAACATAGCAGGGTTTATTAGTCAATCGAAACATAGCATTGAAAGTCTTTAGATTAGGACAGAGAAGCAAAGAAGACAATATAGTCCACACTGGCCAATGCCCTTGAGCCATGCTGCTGTAGAAAACAGTTTGGTTTCCATTCACTGTACCTGTCCATTTGTCTTCTCTCCAATAGAGCTCCCTGCATCTGTGAGCCCAGTTCTTCCTGCTCCCAAAAACATAACAAGTCCATAAATGCTTCACTCAGCCAAGGGAAGATCCTCCCATGAACAGATGACAATTATTCCCTTGTCTCTGTAGGATATTCCATTGATTTGGGTTGGTCCCAGCCAGTCCTTAATGACCCATTCATATCACCCCATTACATCTACGTGACAAAACACCTCATGTCTCCTGCTCTTTCTAATCATAGCAATACCAATCAGAGAGGGAAACTGAGGTGTGTATTGGCATCATAGAAGTATCACCAAAATTCCCAACTCTATCACACGCAACAGCCTTGGAGAAAAAGCAAAGCACAGGAACTGGACGTTAGTCTAGTGAACACAGTGTAGGAGAAGCTGCAATCCTCAAACCTGCTCAAAAAGGAGAGGCATGTGGGTCCCTACCCATGGAGAGGGGCTGGCTAGAGGCCTGATACCTGAGAGGGCATTCCTTGAGCAGACCATGGAGGCAGGTCCCAGAACTGTGATATCACAAAAGCACATTGTGGGGAATTAGGAAATCTAGTGATTCAGGTATAATGGGAAGGAGAATTAAACTCTTCCAGCGTGTGGAGAAGGCTGGGGAATTAAACACTGAAATTCAGGAGCAACAGCCTCTAATTCTTCCGATGAAGTGAGCTGCAGTTCACGAAAACTTATGCTCTAATAAATTTGTTAGTCTCTAAGGTGCCACAAGTCCTCTTTTTCTTTTTACGGATACAGACTAACACGGCTGCTACTCTGAATCCAGAAAAGGAGAATGTAAGAAACAAGAACTGGGCCATGCAATGTCAGAAGGGACAGGCTCCAAGATCCAAGGAGCCCAGAGGGAAGGAAGCTTGTGGCTGCTGCAGATGGAGAGAGCGGGGCCAAGAGTATCTCCAAACTCTCACTCCTGTTCACCCCGACCTGATTTTATGATCTTTGACCTAGTCTCAAGTCTTGTGTGCAATTTTATACTCACTAGAGATAAAATGTCATTCTCAGAAAATTGCTTATTAGCTTGCAATATGCATGGAGGGTCAAGGAGGTGAACATAAATAAATGGGCTATTAAGGGCAGGTCTACACTACAGCCAGGATCCACGCTCTGAGATTGATCCACTGGTGGTCGATTTAGTGGGTCTAGTTAAGAGCCACCAAATCAACTGCAGATTGACTGCAGCTGGCTCTCCAGTCAACTCCTGTACTCTACTGCTGACTCTACCCCGACACTCTCCCGTTGACCCCCCGCAGTGTACACCCTGCAGTAACTCAGCCTAAGTTATGTTCACTCCAGCTACATTATTCACGTAGCTGGATTTGCATAGTGTAGGTCAACTGACCGCGGTAGTGTAAACATAGCCTAAGCTTGCTACAGTTAAAGGCCTTATATTAGGTTGAGGCTTTGTGGGAGTGATTATGATGAAGTCTAGGATTTAGCTGAATAGGCCTCAGGATAAGGAGAGAATCCTAGGTGAGATATTTTGACCCCACATTTTGAAAAACTAACAAGTAATCACCAACAGGTGCATTACACCACAGGATTCTGAAAGAAGGGGCGGGCTTTAGCAGTTAGGTTTCTATGCAGTAACTCAACAGTTGGGCCGCATTCATATATTAGAATTATTAATAAACAGTGATGTAAATAAGTGATGTAAATCATAAGTATCAATGCTTGATGCTTAATTATGGACTTCCCAAAGGCCACATATGGGTTGGGGCAGCTATTGACATTCCTGTAATCAGACTAAAGGAGCAGATATAGTATATAGCCATCCTATTACCATAAGTGGATAAAATACCTCTCAGTTACCATTTTTTCATTTTCTCAGGTCACCGAGACAGTGTAAACTGAAGGAGGGCCTTCATTGAATCATAGAATATCAGGGTTGGAAGGGATCTCAGGAGGTCATCTAGTCCAACCCCCTGCTCAATGCAGGACCAATCCCCAGTTAAATCATCCCAGCCAGGGCTTTGTCAAGCCTGACCTTAAAAACTTCTAAGGAAGGAGATTCTACCACCTCCCTAGGTCCTTCAGATGGACTCCCTTGCCCCTTGATCTTTGTTTCCAATGGTGTCTATAACTTGGTAATATGCACAGTACAAGACGCTCTTTACTATACTTACCTTAGTCTAATTATTATGCATATTGATCCTTGCCTATGATTCCAATTATAACTGCCTGTATTAAATTAAGTTTCTGTGTGTTTCACCAAATTTCATCTTCTCAATTAATTTTGAGCAGCCATGTAAAAGGGCAAGTTGTACCCCAATACGTAGGTGTAAAAATTGTACAGGCTACACTACCACCCTGACATCATCAACAAAGTGCCCATTTGTGCCTGGGTAGTGGCCCTGCTGTGGGAGAGAGGAATGCAGCAAGGACTCAGGATCGGTGGATGGGGTTGTTGTGCACAGAGACAGGGAGGGGGGTAATGAGTGGGAGAGGGAGGTCAAGAGTTAAAATATTAATGTTTGGGGGAAAATGTATAATGAAGTGAAAGTGAACAGAAATAAAACTGGAGTGCAGGCTGTAAAGCAAAAAGGCCTGGGCAGGGATTTGGAGTTAAAGATCTGGGATCCCCCACAGCTCTAGATCCCCAGACTCTCCTACCTCCCACTGATCCACCCAGCCCACCTCCTGGGTGCCTTTCCTCCACACTCCCCTCACCTTCTTCCCACTACTCTCAGCCACCACCACGTCCAGGCACCTTGGGAGCTTCCTATGTTCCCTCCTAGTCTCTCACTACCTCATCCCTCCCCGCTCCTTCTTACCTCTAATCCGGCACATACACTCCTCATGTCCTAGCACCCCAGAATTAGCTACTCCCCGCTTCTCCTCCCCTCCCATGGCTCTGTTCTCTCTTCACCCATGGGGTCCTGAATGGCAACATTATACACTCTCCTATCAAAAGCTGAGCTCATCTGACTGTCACACAAGACATGCATGAGTCATACACCTATTTACTCAATTTAGAATTCTACAGGCAGCATATTTTCCTTTTAAAATGAGGAAAAGGCATGAAAGCTCTAGTTATTAATGTAATTGTTAATGTATCCAATAATGATAAATTAAATGCAATTTTAAAATGCCTGACAGCACCAAAAAGGCACATGTCCAAAAATTATTCTAGTGGGTGGGAGATAAGGCAAAAAAAGTGTGTGTGGGGGGAGGGGGGCGGGGGGGAAACTTGTCAAAACTTGCATGACGAATACAGGTATAAAGTTATTACTACTCAAGTTCTTTAGAGACCCCACAGCTTCTTATAACCCAGGGGACAGGACTCATTACCCAGCCAGACCACAGTCTCATAGTTCTCCTGCATGACATCCCTGTAGAGGGCTCTCGGAGTGGGGTCCAGCAGAGCCCCCTCTTCCTTGGTGAAATATACAGCCACCTCCTCGAAAGTCACCGGTATCTGAAAGAGCAAGAGTCCAACACTCAGTATCTGCTGTCCCAGTCACAACCCCACTATTCACAGAACAGCAGCACCAGGTAAATGGAAGCTTCAAGAGGCACACGTTAACAGAGTCCCACCCCCACCTTGCTTAGAGCAGCCAGGAGGCATCAGAGGGTAGAAAAAGAGAACCATTGTGTCTCCCAGCTGACAGACTAAGGCAGGGTTTTCACATTTATGACATACCTACTAACCAGAGCCTGATATAGGAGATGGGGCTGTCTCTGGACCCTGCTGGTGGCTCCCTGGCAGGAATCCCAACACTCTCCAAATAAACTATATGGAAGAAAGGGGAAGTAAATAGTAAAGAATATAAGTTAGAAAGTCAGAATTGTAGAAAATTGTTAAGGGAAGCTACCAGAAATCAATGATCAATCAATCAAAATAAGAAGGAAGTTTTTAAAGGTATATAAAGTTCAAAATTAATCCTAACAATGGTAGTGGTAAATTACTAGACGGAAATGATGGAATTATCAAAAATAATGCAGAAGAGGTAAAAGTGTTCAATAAATATTTCTCTCCTGGGTTCAGATAAAAACACATGATGTAGTCATATCTTAAGATGTTGACGACAACACTCTTTCCATTCCAACAATAACTCACAAGGACATTAAACAGCAGCTATTAAAGTTAGACACGTTTAAATCAGCAGGTCCAGACAACTGGTATCCAAGAGTTTTAAAATACCTGGTGGAGGAGTATGGTGGACTGTTAAGGTAGATTTTACTTAGGACTTGGAACATTGGGGAAATTCCAGAAGACTGGAATAAAGCTAATGCTGTGCCAATATTTAAAAAATGAGAGAGAGATGACCCAGCTAATTAAAAGCGTGTCAGTCTGACATCGATACTGGGCAAGATAAGGGGGCAGCTGATACTGGATTTCATTAATAAAGAAATAAAGGAGGGTAATATAATTAGCACCCATTAACAAAGGTTTGGAAAAAATAGATCCTATCAAACTAATCAGATATCCTTAGTGGATGAGATCAAAAGTTTGGTTGCAGCTAACAGTATTGATGCAATATATCTCCCTCTTCTGTAAGGCATATGACTTGGTTCAGCACAATATTTTGACTAAAAAACTAGAATGATACAAAATAAACCTGGCATACATTAAATAGATTAAAAACTGTGATTGTAAATGGGGAACCATGGTTGAGTGGATTTATTTCTGGAGGTTCCCACAAGGATTGGTTCTTGACCCTGTGCTATTTAACATTCTTATCAATGACCTAGAAGAGAATATAAAATCCTCACTGATAAAGTTTGCAGTTGCCACAAAGACTGGGAGTGGTGGTAACTAATGAAGTGTCAGTAGATTCAGGCTCCAGCACTGGAAGTCTGGGACATTTTCCCAGCCTTGAATGGAGGGTTACTTCCTGTTCCACAAAGAGGGGAAGTTCCATTCCCAACTCCCGTGCCTTGAAATAAGACCCTGCCTGACAGTACACCCATATTCAGCATAGTGGTATGATTATAATATGATTAGGACAGAATTATAATGCATTTTGTGCAATATGCATCATGTGTGGTGTCATTGGAAAAGTTATGATTTGCTGAATACGATTATCCTATTTGTGTGCATATATCAAGTTTGTATCTGAAGTTATGGATACAGACTATGTATGGAGTGGTGGATATGCTGGAAGGTAGGGATAGGATACAGAGGGACCTAGACAATTTAGTGAATTGGGCCAAAATAAATGTGATGGGGTTCAACAAGGACAAGTACAGAGTCCTGCACTTACGATGGAAGAATCCCATACACTGCTACAGACTAGGGACCGAGTAAGTAGGCAGCAGTTCTGCAGAAAAGGACCCATGAGTTACAGTGGATGAGCAGCTGGATATAAGTCAGCAGTTTGCTGTTGTTGCCAAGAAGGCTAACAGCATTTTGGCCTGTATAAGTAGGAGCACTGCTAGAAGATCGAGAGATGTGATCATTCCCTTCTATTTGGCATTGGTGAGGCCTCATCTGGAGTACTGTGTCAAGTTTTGGGCCCCACAGTACAAGGAGGATGTGGAAAAATTGGAAAGAGTCCAGCGGAGGGCAACAAAAATGAATATAACAGGGTTTAAGACAGAACTGGATACATTCATGGAGGTTAAGTTCATTAATGGCTATTGGCCAGGATGAGTAAGGAATAGCATCCCTAGCCTCTGTCAAAGGTGGGTGACGGATGGCAGGAGAGAGATCACTTGATCATTACCTGTTAGGTTCACTTACTCTGGGGCACCTGGCATTGGTCACTGTTGGTAGACAAAAAGAAAAGGAGTACTTGTGGCACCTTAGAGACTAACCAATTTAGTTTTTCCTTTTGCGAACACAGACTAACACGGCTGCTACTCTGAAACCTGTTGGTAGACAGGATACTGAGTTGGATAGACCTTTGGTCTGACCCAGTACAGCCATTCTTATGTTCTTAATAGGGGGCTGGAGCACATGACTTACGAAGAGAGGCTGAGGGAACTGGGTTTGTTTAGTCTGCAGAAGAGAAGAATGAGGGGGGATTTGATAGCTGCTTTCAACTACCTGAAAGGGGGTTCCAAAGAGGATGGATCTAGACTGTTCTCAGTGGTAGCAGATGACAGAACAAGGAGTACTGGTCTCAAGTTGCAGTGGGGGAGGTTTAGGTTAGATATTAAGAAAAACTTTTTCACTAGGAGGGTGGTGAAGCACTGAAATGGGTTACCTAGGGAGGTGATGGAATCTCCTTCTGTCATAAATATAAAGGGAAGGGTAAACACCTTTAAATCCCTCCTGGCCAGAGGAAAAACCCTTTCACCTGTAAAGGGTTAAGAAGCTAGGATAACCTCGCTGGCACCTAACCAAAATGACCAATAAGGAGACAAGATACTTTCAAAGCTGGGGGCGGGGGAGAAACAAAGGGTCTCTCTGTCTGTGTGATGCTTTTGTTGGGACCAGAGCAGGAATGCAGGTCAGAACTCCTGTAAAAAGTTAGTAAGCAATCTAGTTAGATATGCAGTAGATTCTGTTTTGTTTAAATGGCTGATAAAATAAGTTGTGCTGAATGGAATGTATATTCCTGTTTTTGTGTCTTTTTGTAACTTAAGGTTTTGCCTAGAGGGATTCTCTATGTTTTGAATCTGATTACCCTGTAAGGTATTTACCATCCTGATTTTACAGAGGTGATTCTTTTACTTTTTCTTTCATTAAAATTCTTCTTTTAAGAACCTGATTGCTTTTCATTGTTCTTAAGATCCAAGGGGTTGGGTCTGTGTTCACCTATGCAAATTGGTGAGGATTTTTATCAAGCCTCCCCCAGGAAAGGGGGTGTAGTGCTTGGGGGGATATTTGGGGGGGGAGGAGACGTTTCCAAGTGGGCGCTTCCCCTGTTCTTTGTGCAACACTTTGGTGGTGGCAGCGTTTAACCTAAGCTGGTAAGGATAAGCTTAGGGAGTCTTTCATGCAGGTCCCCACATCTGTACCCTAGAGTTCAGAGTGGGGAAGGAACCTTGACACCTTCCTTAGAGGTTTTTAAGATCAGGCTTGACAAAGCTCTGGCTCCGATGATTTAGTTGGGGTTTGGTCCTGCTTTGAGCAGTGGGTTGGACTAGATGACCTCCTGAGGTCCCTTCCAACCCTGATCTTCTATGAGATTCTAATCTGGGCCACAGTCTTGCGCTCCTTTGCACAGGGGTGGGGGGGGGTGCGTGTGTCCAGATCTCAGTTTTACCTGTCACAACAGGGTTGCAGATCTCACTTGGGATCTCCACAGCACCTGTCACAACACCGGGGTTTGACCTATGTTGGGGTCTCTGCAGCACCTGGCAGAACAGGATCCAGATCTCACTTCGGGTTTCTGCAGCTCCAGGAATAACAAGGTCCCTGATTTTGTTTGCCATCTCTGCAGCACCTGGCACAACTGGAGCCTGATTTCACTTGGTGTTGATGCAGGGCCTGGCACAAAAAGGGGGAGGAGCTCAGTCAGGGTCACTGTAGCACCCGGTACAGCAAGGTCCCTGCTCTCTGTAAGGGTCTGTGCAGTTCCTGGCACAAAAGGTGCCCCAAACTTGGTTAGGGTTTGTGCAGTGCCTGGCACACGGGGGCACCTGATCTCAGTCAAGGCCTGAGCTACGCTCAGAACAATAACAGCCCTGATCTCACACAGACACCTGGAGAAAAAAGCAAGAAGATTTTCAAGAATTTGATATCAGTATTTCAGAACTGAGGAGAAAATGGGGCACAAACTAAGTATCTGCCAATATAAGAGAGAAGGCCAGCATCTGAGGAGATGTTATGTCACCATTTAACAGGTCAAGAGAAAAGAGGGAAAGTTTGAGGGGAACAACAGAATGGGATGGATTCTTGTTGCCTCACATTCACGTGGCCAGCAGGGAGCCCTGGGTGATGTGGCTTTCCCAGGGGAAAAGAGTGGGGCTGGAGTCAGGTCAGAAGGAGAGGGGCTGGCCATGGTGTCTGGGAATGTGACTAGCAGGCAGTGGGTTGGGCAAGGTGGGGGTGGGGGAAGTAGCCGGGACTGGAAACCTGGGATTGAGCCTTCTCCCTGGGGGATGCTTGCTCCTCCCTCCCCTTCCTGGGCCTTCCCATGCCCTGTGGCCAGCAGAGAGTGGCCCCCCAGCCCAGCCTAGCCGTATCCCTGTCTCAGGGCTCTCCCAGCCTCTGCCCATTAACCCTCTTGCCAGTTCAGAAATCACTCAGGGGAAAGATTTCCCACCGAAAAAAGGACAAGTCACTGCAGGTAAAAATGCGGCGGAGACACCAGAAACCTGAGATTTGAACGGGCCACGGGTGAAGTGGGGAGCTAATGGGGTACAGTGGGGGGAGGAGAACAAAGACCCTCTCAGCGATATGGGCGGGGGGGGGGTCACCCTGGATGTTGCTCGTTGCTCTCTAGAAAGAAAGGGGGCAGGACGGGGGTCCCCAGGGCAGCGGGAAATCCGAGGGGATCTCACCCCCCCCCTTCTCTCCCCACTCCTTGGGGGTCCCCTGCTCTTCTCCCCTCCCGCCCACGTCCGGGCTGCACAGACATTTCCCATCCGCCCCTTCCCAGACCCCGGCAGCCTCCCGCCCAGCCACACGCAGGAACCCCAGGGCAGAGCCTGGCCGGGCCCGCGGGGCGCGGGGCTCCTGCTGAGGCAGCAGCTCCGAGCCCCCCACCCCGCGGCGCGGGCCCCCCAGGGAGCAGATCCCGCCGCTGCCAGATGCCTGGTCCCCCCCGGACACGGGGGCAGAGTCGCCGCCCGGCCCGGCCCGGCCCCGGCCCCGGCCCCGCCCCCGGGGCTCGCTCCGGTACCTGGAGGCTGCAGCTCCGCAGCACGGGGTGGCTCCAGCGGGAGCAGGGCCCGGGCCGGGCACGGGGAGTTAACGAAGGTCTCCCCGGCACAGACCCTCTGCTCAGCCCGGCCCCCAGCCCCAGGGAGCAGCAGCGGGGCAGCTCTGCCTCTGCGCATGCGGGGCTCTCCCCAACCCCCCGATCTGCGCATGCCCAGAGCCGGGAGACACAAAAACTCTTCTCCGGCTCCGGGAGAGGATCCAACGGCCCCGCACGAGCCAGGCAGAGCCGCAGCGCCCCGCGCGCGTTCACTGCCCGGCGCGTCCTCCCCCAGCCCAGCGTCACTTCCGCTCTCTGGAGAGTCAAGAACTACATCTCCCATCCTGCCCTGGGGGGGCACTTCCGTCCTCTCTGGCCCAGGTAAGGGAGGGTTTCAGTAGCTGTCACTGCGCATGCTCTCTTCGAGCCCCGCGTCACGTTAGTTCCGCTGCTGCTCCCCGGGGTTTGTGGTGGGGGTGGGGGAGCCCGTTATTAACCCCTCCGTGCCCGGCTGGGGGGCGGGGGGTTTCTCCAGCCGGGACCAGCCCCCCGGGCCGGAGCCCCCCGGTGAGTGAGAGGCGCTGGGGCGGGGGCGCTGGGGCCGGGCAGGAAAGTGACTCTCTGCCCGGGACCCGGGGAGAAGCCCCCGCCCCAGGGGAGCTGCAGCTGGGCTCTGCTGGGATGGGGGGGTCCCCTGGGGTGGGAGAAGCCGGAGTTGCGGGGGGGGGCTGAACTGTCTTTGTGCGGCCGGGAAATCCCCGGGGGGGAAGGGGCCGGCGGGGGGAGGGGCGTTAATTGGATCCTGTCCCTGTTTGTGCCACTCCCCCGCCCCCCCCGGTACAAATTCTCTCTAGTTCCGCCCTTTTCTCTCCCCCTGCCTCACACGTGGCTGTAACGTCCGTGGAGACCCCCCCCCCCCAATGGTCCGCGCTCCCGTCTCTCCTCATCCCCTCGCTCTCTCCCTAATTCTCAAATGTCCATTTAAAATCTCCTCCGATGGGGGGGATTTTCCCACCTATTTTATCTGGCCCGATTTGTCCTTGTTTGGGTGGGAAACCGTTGCCCAGAGTCATTCCCCAAAACGTGGCTGCCCCTGGAGTGGGGGTGGGATGCGATGCCAGTGGGGGGGATAGCTCAGTGGTTTGAGCATTGGCCTGCTAAACCCAGGGTTGTGAGTTCAATCCTTGAGGGGACTGTTTAGGGATCTGGGGCAAAAATTGGGGATAGGTCCTGCTTTGAGCAGGGGGTTGGACTAGATGACCTCCTGAGGTCCCTTCCAACCCTGATATTCTATGATTCTCTGCTAAGGCAGGAGGAGGACGTGTTCCCCATGGGGACTGCTGGGACCCTAGTTTCCCAATCCCATTTGCTGCCTCCTCATGACAAACACAGTTGCCAGTCACCAGCCCCTTCCCCACTGATGCCCCCTTCCTTTGGTTCAGGAAGGGGAGCCTTCCAGCTCAGCCCCCTTCCTTTGCCTGCTTAAATCAGCTCCTCAAAGGGTTCCCTGTTCAGGGACATCCGTAGCTATTCTGGGGTCCTATGCAGACTCCTCATGGGGGGGTATTTGGGGCCCCAGGGCTCCATCGTGTGGCTGGGCTGATTTGGGGGACAGGGGGAACCGCCCTCCAGCAGCCCACTGGTGGTGGGGCTGGGGCCAGGTCATGGCATTTCCCATTGCCTGGGAGTGCAGGCTCTGCCCTGCTATAGCCCTCAGGGGTGGGAAGAGGCAGGGAAGGGGGGACAGGGTTGGGGCTTTGGGGAAGGGGCAAATTTCCTGGTGCCATAGGCAGTTGTATTCATGGATGAGGACACCCCTGCCCCTGTTGCTTATGTGAATGGTGGCATTGGGGGGAACCGTCACTTTCTGTTATGTATTGGACAGTCATATAAAATCCAGTAAACAGTTCCCCTTTTCCAGCTAGTTATTTAATAGCAATATAAACTCCCCTCTGATCTTGGTGTTTTTCTCCCATGTTATCAATTGCGTAGTTTGTGACATGTGTTCTTTGCAAATCTCAATGATCAATATAAAATACCCTGAACATTTGCCCCACTTTTTCTTGAGTTGTCTATTTCCCATTGAATATGCCTTGAAATTTTCCACTGTCTCTTTAATTATAAAATACTAAGAAAATCCCAGATTTATACCTTTTCTCAGATTCTTGAATATGGTTAGAAAATGTTTGCAAATGTTGCCCTTTTTCTCTCTATTCATTTTTGAAATATTGATGTGAATTACACTCAAATTTTACCTGATATCAACAACTGATATAAAATCCCTTTGATTTTCCACTGTCCTCTCTATACATTTTAAATACACATCAAAGCCAGAGGACTGCCCCTGTTTGGGGGATCAGTGGTTCTCCAGACAGCCCGGGATGAGGAAGTCACTCTGAGTGCAACATGGGTCCAGAAGTATCCCAAACCCCATGACAAATGGTCTCCGTGAGGGGTTGCTTCCTGCACTGCTAAGATGTAGCCACCTCTGGGGTGGATCCATGGTGGCCATTATTTGCTAGTGACAGGGCAAGGAAATTTCTTACCTATTTTGGCCCCCCTGCATCCCCATGCCTCCCATTCTCCAGTTAAAGAAGAATCCCCCAGGTCTCCCTCTGCCCTGTGACTGGCCAGCAGGGGGCAGTGATGATTTTCTATCCACTTATCAAACACTGTGAAGTGAAATCATAGATTTTGCTTTTCTCCCCTTTTGAAAACTGCAGGAACTTCTGGTTCCATTGGTAAAATTCATGTCCTAGATCTGGGGGGTGATGGAAGTGGGAAGGGGATTAGCACTGCCACACAATGGTCTCTTCCACAGCATTCTGGACTCGTTCTTTCTGAAACCTGGTTTCATTGAGACCATTGTTAATCCAGAGTCACTGCATGGAAAGACAAGGAGTGACTCCAGATGGACAGTGGGGCAAATGAGATTTCCCTGTGAGGAGATGCTCTCATTAACTGCTCTCCCCAGAGAGCTAAAAGAGGGAAGGGTGCTGAAATGCTCTGTCCCTCTCTGCTAAAGATATTGGGCTTCAAGTTCCTGGGTCAGACGCTGCAGCCTCCATAGTGACCTGGAAGACCAGGCTTAGCAGCAGCTGCTGCTCCCCCAGCAGGGATTCTGTGCTGGGAAGTGACCTTAATTAAAGCTTCTTCTCTGCCCGGCCCAGGTGATGACTTTCTCTAGCAGGTACTAGCCCCATAGGGCAGCCCTAGGCCCTGTTAATACAAATTCTGAGCCACAGACTCCAGGTAACTGAAAGACCTCAGGGAAAGTGCTGGGGACTGGCATGAAAGTGACTCCTCACAAACAGCCCCCCACTTATTTCTCCTCCCATTAGCGATATCCAGGACAAAATCCAGCCATGGGAGAGCAAAGCACCCAAGAATGGGACTTTTGCAGCCAGAGGGGCAAGGAGAGAGGACAGGGGAAGGAGAGACTGAAAGATGCAGTAGTAGAAATGAGTGGGGAGAGAGATTTTCAGCTCTCTAATCCACACAGACACATATTGCAGCATCCCTGGGCAGAATCATTTTCCAGTGAACAAGAAAAGGATCAGACAGAAGAAAAGTCAGTTCCTGACTCCGTATTCCTCCTGCTGGAGTGTGGCTACCATGAGACAGTGTCCGAGGGAATCCCCCACAGTGACTCCTTTGGTCCTGCTTTTTTCTAGCATTGTGTTCAGAGACTTTGTTACTGGATGGGGGAGGGAGAAGGGAGGTTAAAAATCTCTGTGGGCTTAGCCTGACAAGAGGGGCCAGGTCTGTCTTTAATAAAGAGATGAAGCATTTTTCCAGCATGGCAGAATCTAGGATATCTGTCTGCAGGGAAAGGGCCTGGGGCAATTGTGATGTGAAATTAACTAAAGCCTGTTCTGAAAACCACACAATTACCTTTCTCACCCTCCCAGGCTGCAGAATAACGTCCATGTTTTGCTCCAGCTCTTCCCATCCTCCCATGGCACAGGGTAGAGAAATGGCTGCAGAGGAGCCAGTTCAGGTAGGTATTACGGGGGGGGGTTCTGCTGGGTTCCTGCAGCATGGAGAGCGGTGACAAATACACCAGAGATGGGAAGGTTTGCACAGTCTGGTTTGGAGGTTTGAGCAGGGCAGGAAATGTACAGAGAGGAGCACAGGTTGTGGCAAATCTGCTTGGAGTGGTTTAATAAGTGGCCTAGATTCTAGGAACAGACCCATGAGATTAGGAGGTTGAAATGCCCTCATTTGTGGCACAGAAAATAAACCACCTACATGGGACTAGGAAAACTGACCAGACTCCCACTGCTGGAGCCTGACTTGACTAACCAGTGGCTTCTGAGAGATATGAAGGGGGAACCCACCAGTCAGGCTTAGGGGAGATTCCCCTCCCTTCATATCCAGCTCCTCACAATGAGGAGGGTGTTGGGCTTCCTATCAGGCAGATCTCCCTGGACTCTGCTAGGGGCTCCATCTCCTGTATCAGTCTGTGGCTGGTAGATGTGTGATGGATCTGCTGGGAGAGACAAGGGGCTCTCTCTTTGTACCCTCACCCTGGTGCTTCCTGGATGCTCTGAGCAGGATGGGGGTAGGACTCTGTTGACTGTGAGCCACCCAGCGTTTCCTTTTGGCTCCTCTCCCCAGGAATAGTGGGGCTGTGAGTGGGGGGCAGCAGGTACTGAGTGGTGGATTCTTGTTCTTTCAGGGGCTGGTGGCATTTGAGGAGGTGGCTGTGCATTTCACCAGGGAAGAGTGAGTTCTGCTGGACCCCACTAGGAGAGCTCTCTACAGAGATGTCATGCAGGAGAACTATGAGAATGTGACCTCACTGGGCAAGAATTCCTGTGCCCTCGATTATTAGAAGGGGAAATGAAGAGATAACGTTCATGCCAGACCCACAATGCTACCTCTACTCTGTCCTGTTTCAGCATCACCCCAATATGCCAGTGACCCACACCCTGCCAGAGACCCTCCCCTCCTGCAGAACACTTTGGGAACAAAGCACAGGAGCACTATTGCACAGGAGGAACTGGGGGTTGGGTCCAGCATAATGAACAGAAGCTTCCTACCCCTGGCCTTCTCTGAAACACTGAGCCTGCTCCACCCAGACCAGAATGTGCTTGGGGTGTAACAAGCAGGCTACTGGAGACAGAGCTGCTGCTCAAGGGTTACTTATCACACAGACACTGCGTGTGTCCTTGAATGCTGGCTGGGAGCATCCAGACAAGGGAGCTCCAGCAGCAGAATATTCAAACTCACCCAGGATTACAGAGGACACAACTCCTCACTGGTCTGGATGGCACCTCAGTATGTCAAAATGGCCTAGGTTGGTAGTGAAACTTCTTGAGACATTGAGAATCTTGCTCCCCCTTCACCATGTGTAATAGCCACAATCTCTCTTCTCTGCAGGCTCCTCTCATTGCCAAAGTCACATGACACCGATTCTTATTTTTCACATTCAGCTTTTCTAGACTAATTAGGATCTGTTGCTCCTGAATTATAGCTTCTAACTTCCCAGTGTTCTGCACACCCAGGGATTTTCCTACTCCCTCCCATTACACTGGGCTCACTAGATTCCCTAGTACATAAATCCAGCCATAGTGGGTCAGATCAAAGTTCCATCTAGCCCAGTATCCCGTCTTCTGACGGTGACCAAGGCCAGGTGCCCCAGAGATAATGAACAGAACAGGAAATCAACAAGTGATCCATCTCCTGACGTCCATTCCCAGGTTCTGGCAATCAGGGGCTAGGGACATCACCCATGCACATTCTGGCTAATGGCCATTCATGGACCTATCCTCCATGAATTTACCTTGTTCTTTTTTTGAACTCCGTTCTAGTCTTGGCCTTCTGGCAAAGAGTTCCACAGGTTGACTGTGCATTGTGTGAAGAAATGCTTCCTTTGGTTTGTTTTAAATCTGCTGCCTATTACTTTCATTGGGTGACTCCTAGTTCTTGTGTTAGGAGGAGGAGTAAATAACACTTCCTTATTTACTTTCTCCACAGCAGTCTTTATTTTATAAATTTCTATCATATTTCCCCTTTGTTGTCTCTTTTCCAAGCTGAAAAGTCCCTGTTTTTTTAATCTCTCCTCATAAAGAAGCTGTTCCATACCCCTAATCATTTTTGTTGCTCTTTTCTGAACCTTTTCCAATTCCAATTGTGGAAGAAAACGAAATCCACTCTCAGGTTGGAAGCAACAAAATCAGAGACAGCTTTATTCGAACAATTGCAAGGGAAGAAAACAGCTAGCAGAGAGCATCTCTGCCTCAGTTTCTCCAAAGTACAAGCAAAATCACACAAGCATTTATACCTCTTTGTGACATGCAGAAATTGAAAATATCTACATTTTATTTAGGCTATTTACTATCTAATCCAGTATTTTCTCACTTTCTCTTCTCAAAACATCGTTATCTCAAGTCTAGGTCACACTGACTATTCTGCTGTTCCACTCGCTTCTGACGTGAGCCCTGCTTCTACAGGTCTCGCGATATTAGGCTAAGACTTAACAAAACAGTTGCTCTGTTTCTGACACTTAAATGGCTGCACTTAAACCCTCTCTTTCTTTCCCTGCTTCCACACTCCCCACTTTTGTGCTTTTTTATCACAACTAACGTTCTTAAACCTCCAATTGCATCAAGCCTTGTATTTCTGTTTCTAGCTCAGGAGGATCAGAATCAGCCCTATAAGTCTTAACTGGATATAACGATAACACCTTATTAGTATGAACATGAAAGGCATTTTTGTTAGTAAGTCCCTTAGAACAACAGTAACATATTACTATACTAAACAAAAGCAATACACGCATTAATGTCCCCATTGTAATAATATGCTGGAGTTGTTTCATTGCCTTAGTTACATAGCACATTACATCATAATTAGTACACAAAATCGACGCTCTATAGGCTGTATGAAAAGCACGTTTTTCAATTTGATATATATTCTGAAGCACATGGATTTGACCCTGTAAGTCAGAAATTTTCCTAACCTCTGGTAGGAGTGAGTGTAAATTTTGAAAGCGGTCGGGTATCAAAGTGGTGCAATTAAAAGAAATCTGATACCCAAGGTCCAATTGTAGGGTTTTGTCTGCAGGCCAAGAAATAATGTGATTTCCTGTGATCGTAGTGAGATTAAAATGTAAGTCTTGCAAAGCGGTGGCCTTAACATATACACAACTATCATTAGCTTGGAAAAGTAACTGTCCTATCAAGGTAGTTCCTTGTCCCATACCTTCCCAACAGACTTTGTCAAATACTGTGACAACTTCCCCTTGCTTCAATTTCCTTACACATTGAAGCTGTTGGGGTTTATAAGGGCCACAATATCCACTGATTCCCTATTCCAATCCAAATATCAGGTATTATTCCAGGAGCACTAACAACAAATCGGCTAGGCATACCAGGTGGTCTAATCTCCCAGACATCACAGTGAATAGAATCATAGAATCATAGAATATCAGGGTTGGAAGGGACCCCAGAAGGTCATCTAGTCCAACCCCCTGCTCAAAGCAGGACCAATTCCCAGTTAAATCATCCCAGCCAGGGCTTTGTCAAGCCTGACCTTAAAAACCTCTAAGGAAGGAGATTCTACCACCTCCCTAGGTAACGCATTCCAGTGTTTCACCACCCTCTTAGTGAAAAAGTTTTTCCTAATATCCAATCTAAACCTCCCCCACTGCAACTTGAGACCATTACTCCTCGTTCTGTCATCTGCTACAATTGAGAACAGTCTAGAGCCATCCTCTTTGGAACCCCCTTTTAGGTAGTTGAAAGCAGCTATCAAATCCCCCCTCATTCTTCTCTTCTGCAGGCTAAACAAACCCAGCTCCCTCAGCCTCTCCTCATAAGTCATGTGTTCCAGTCCCCTAATCATTTTTGTTGCCCTTCGCTGGACTCTCTCCAATTTATCCACATCCTTCTTGAAGTGTGGGGCCCAAAACTGGACACAGTACTCCAGATGAGGCCTCACCAATGTCGAATAGAGGGGAACGATCACGTCCCTCGATCTGCTCGCTATGCCCCTACTTATACATCCCAAAATGCCATTGGCCTTCTTGGCAACAAGGGCACACTGCTGACTCATCTCCAGCTTCTCGTCCACTGTCACCCCTAGGTCCTTTTCCGCAGAACTGCTGCCTAGACATTCGGTCCCTAGTCTGTAGCTGTGCATTGGGTTCTTCCGTCCTAAGTGCAGGACCCTGCACTTATCCTTATTGAACCTCATCAGATTTCTTTTGGCCCAATCCTCCAATTTGTCTAGGTCTTTCTGTATCCTATCCCTCCCCTCCAGCGTATCTACCACTCCTCCCAGTTTAGTATCATCCGCAAATTTGCTGAGAGTGCAATCCACACCATCCTCCAGATCATTTATGAAGATCCAGTCCTACATGCATCCTCCCCATGGACCTGGCAGGATTCGGTATGTAGGAGCCCACACCCCTCCTACCGGCCCATATGCTTGGAAGGAGCACTGCGAGTACTTGCAACTCCATCCTGAAAATCTCCATGTCTCCATGGCCACAAATCAGATGGTACTCCTGAAGCATTAGTAAGGGCAGTGGGCCAAGTCTAATGCTCAAGATCACTCCGAATGGCCATCAGCTGGTCATTCAGGAAATCCTGAATCTCTGAACATGCTAGATCCCACTGCAATTCCTTTCCTGCCTCAGTGATATTCAATACCATTCCTGTCAACAGCTCCAGGGTCATTGAACTAAGGGTGGAAATAACATGTAATTCACCAACTCCAGCTTGCACCTGAGTCAGTTGTGCTCCAGTAATAAGACCAGTGGCTTTCTCTAGTTGTCCTAATTTCTCATCATGCAGTTGTCCCTTAAGAATATTCCAAATTGCTGCTGCACTATTTGCACCATCCCATAAGTGACCCGCTAAGTCTCTTTTCTTTCGAGAGGAGACCCATACTTTTTGTTGTTCGAGCCAGATAGGAGCTCCCTTGGAACAATTGTGATAAATGGAAGTAATTTG